AAGATTTTAGTGATCAATATGAAGAAAGTGAAGAAGTAGCTTAAAGCTCTGGCAGTTTTGAGTGGTTTTGTTATATTTCAATTGATATAACTACTTATTTTAAAAATTTAAATTTGATTATCATAATTTATTTTTTTTTTAGTTCGAAGTTTTTATATTTCTTTTAACAAAGATACTAACTTCTTTATTGTACTTAAAAAATTAGTTAAAACTCATTATAAACTTAGTTTATTAATATTGTTGTTAGTTAATACATTGAAGAGTGATTAGAAATCTTTAAGATTAGAATGAGAGCTTATTTTATATTTTAATTTGTTTTTTTCAATGTTAATTTTTTTAAATTGCTGTTTTCTCAGAACAACATTTTTTAGCACGGTGCGATAAATAACTTGGGAACTACTTGTTATGGTTCTTTAAAATTTTGTTCAGTTGTAATAATATATATGATAAACTCATTGGAGCAGTATATTTTTTTGATATTATATTTTAACAGAGTTATGGACTTTTAAAGGGGGCTGTTTGGGGGTAAAATTTGACCCGTTAGTTGTATATGCTGTATCTCCTTGGTGCTTTAAGCTTACTTTATAATTCTGCTTCCATGAGTTCTTTAATATAATACAAGTAAACACTGAAAGTTTGAGTTTTATAGCATCTACCATTGTCTCAATATTTATCGCAGCACCTATTGACTGTTTTAGGTTTCACAACCCAAAACCTGGGTCCAAATGTAAAATTTTTTTTTTTTTTTGAATTTTATGTTTTTATGCAGTCTTTTAATATTTTATGAAATCAATACTGTTTGGTTAAAAAAAATGATTTTAGAATTTTGACCATACTACCACCTTAAAGTAATAAGAAATAAAATAGCCACAAGGGAAAAATAATTGAGATAAAGCTATTTTTTTTAGCATCCATAAAGTTAACGCATTTGTGTTAATTGTATTACTGTATAAAAGAATATGGATAATTTTAAACAAAAAAAAGAGCGAGAGAGTCGAATCCAGCTAGCTATTCAAGCTATTACTGAAAAAAAAAAGTCATACGTACAAGCTGCTAGGTGTTATAATGTGGCAAAATCTACACTTTTTGACAGAACAAAAGGATCATCTAATAATCGAGGAGCGCCAAGAAAGATGAGCAACATCACTAAAGCTATTATTGTTGATTTATTAAAATTTATGAGTGATATAGGTTTCGGCTTGAATAGAAAAGACGTGTTTATTGTTGTTGAAAACTATTTAAAAGAATCAAACCAACGTAGTCTATTCAAAGACGGCAAACCGACTAGAAAATGGTACTCCAGTTTCATGAATAAATATCGTAAAGAAATTTGCCCAAGGAAAGTAAGCAGTATGCAAACTATTAGAGCTGTGGCCACACAACCAGCTATAATTGACAATTGGTTTGAGCAATTAGCAGTAGCATATAATGTACATAATTTAGGCAATAAGCCGTTTCAAATATTTAACTGTGATGAATCTGGTTTGCAATTTGATCAAGGCAAAGTCAAAATTATTTGTAGAAAAGGAACAAAAAACCCTAAAAAGCTAGCGCCATCGAATGAAAAGCAAATGACAACAATCTTGACTTGTTGTGACGCATTCGGTAATTATTTACCTCATCAAATAATTTATAAAGGCAAACATGTTATGAAAGACTGGTGCAAAGGCGGTGCCCAGAATGTTTATTATAACAGTAGTAGTTCAGGCTGGATGGAATCCGAACATTTTTTGTCGTGGTTTGAAACCATGACATCCATCCAGCCTGTTCAACAAGTTTTTTTGCCTCACGCAAACAAACTTTCAGGATTTAAAGTTCTAATACTTGATGGCCATACTTCTCATATGAGCTTAGAGTTGAAAAAAAAAGCTTTAGAAAATTATATTTTACTTTGGCGTTTGCCGGCTCATACCAGCCATTTTTTACAGCCACTAGATGTTGGCGTTTTTAAAACAGTAAAAGGCGCATGGAAGAGAATTGTCGAAAGTTATTTGACTAAAAATCACTTTCAAAGCCTGACTAATCGACATTTTCCGGCCATGTTTAAGGATCTCATCGAAAATGGTGGGTTTAAACCTGAAAATGCACGGAGTGGTTTCAAAAATACTGGTATATTTCCACTCGATCGTTCGCAAATTTCTTCAAAAAAAACTTCCATTGGTGCTGTGTTTCAAGCTGTCGAAAACAACAATATTGAAAATTTATTTGATTCTTCAACAGTATCTAGTCCATTAGTTATGGGAAATATTACCAATACACCTAACACACTGTCAAGAATGTCAAACCGTGAATTTTTGCTTAAAAGCTTTGCTACTTTGAATAACGCTGTTCAACAAATGGGCAAAGATATAAACAAATCAGTGTTAAATATGCTTCGAGATCAATTGACACCAACTCTAAATAAAAGAGTTCAAAAAAGTGAGAGAATAAAGCGACCAGCTAATTATAATATGACTTCGGCGGATGCCATAGCTTACGATAAAGCTGAACAAGCATCAAAAAAACAAAAATTAGATGAACAAGCTGCAAAGAAATTTACTAGAGAACAAAAAAAGATTTCCACTGCTACTCAAAAAGCCAAAAATGCACAGAAAAAAGAAGAAAAAAAAAAGTTGAGACAAAGTCAGTCGTCTAAAATACCAGGTAAAAAAGGTATAAAGACAAAAAATGGATTAGAAGACCCTCATTTTCCTCAAGCTTCAAATAATATTTTAGTATCTGATAATCTTCTATGTTATTCTTGCAAAATTAATTGGACAAATAACTTAGATAACAAATGGCTTGCGTGTGAGCAGTGTTCAAATTGGTCATGCATTGAATGTGTCTTTGATTATCGTCCAGCCATGGAGTTTATTTGTAACGAATGTGTGTAAAATAATATATATTCTTTTTTTATTAAATGATTTCATTTAAATAACACAAATAATACTAACATTAAAATAATTATTTTAATGTTAGTATTATTTGTGTATGTGTTTTTCTGTATTTTATATGCATTCGGAATTAGGGACATAAACACCTAATTCCGGATAAAAACAATATTTTTTAAAAATAAAATAAAAGATAGATTTATATCGCAAAAATAATATTTTTTATATCGTTCGATTTGTCTTGTTATGAAGTTTATTTATTTAAAAAATTATTTTCAAGTTCTTTATATTGAGCTAGTTATGACAATATTAGTCCTAAACCATCCGGAATTAGGGGTTTTTACGGTATATATATTTTTTAATAATATATTCTGTTGTATATTTGATTTGTTTTCATCTTTTTTAATTAAAATGAAAACTAAATTAAACTCAAAATACAGTTAAATTGATTCATTATCCAATTATCATAGTATAACAATGCTACATTCAATTGTTTAAAATAATATATTGCACTCACTGCTTTTAAAATTTACTATAAGTCAAGACAATATATTTAGCTATATAAATGCAATTAATTTATATCTCAATTTAATTTTCATCTTAAATGTTTATAGTTTAGCTCCTTAAAGCATTTTATTTTGCTTTTTAATTTAAATATTTATATATATATTCAAATATATCTTCTAAATTAAACTAAAGTTTACTGAAAGCCAACATTAAATAACGTCATTAAACAACACCAATAAGAACTGCTGCATCATGACAGCAACTGAAGTATGATAACTGGTTACCAAAAGCTGGTAAATTGTTTTCCAGTCATTTTTTTTTCTTTTTTATGTCTACTTTTTTTTATGCCTTTTTTATGCCTACTTATCTGTTATAATTTTTATTTTAGGTTTGTCGTATGATGCAATATAAATAATCAAAATTAATATTTTTTAAAAAATTTGTTATACACATGTTTGATTGTAAATTATTATATATACTTTTTTGAAACGTATTTGTACTCAATTGTTTAGTTATTTATAATAAACTTAGTTATTTTTAATAAATTTATTTAGTTAAGTGCATTTAACGTTCTTAAGATAACAAATTTTCTTTTCTAAAGAAAAATTTAACCTCAGAGGGGATACCAAAAGTTAATAACTCCTGTATAATATAATACAAGTTAACTTCATGTTAATCTTAATAAATAATTAAGGTTTATGTTATAAAAAATATTAAAAGAATTGTTGATATTTTTAAGAATTTTAATATTTTAAAGAAAAGTTGATATTTTAAAGAATGGCGAAGTGTTATTATTTTGTTTTGAACTTAGGAATGTCGATAAAAACGGTTCTGCCTTACACTGATATGATCTATGTCAGTTGTAAATTACTCAAATGTGTTAAATAATAATTAGTAAATTATTTTACCTCCTCATACTTATTATGTTAATTTTACCGAGAGATAAATTTGTTCAATTTAAAGGCGTTTTTCTAAAAGGGTATTAGTTAATTTTAAATTGTGGAAAACAGCCACTATAAATTAACCATGTAAAAGACCGAGCATAACCCATATTACGGCTTACTTTTTGCTAGTATACATTGATATAACTATAATAATAAAATAATAAACTAATAACCTTTTAACAAATAAAGTAAATAAATTAACACAATTTTTTTATTTTGTTACTCACTATATTTTTTTAAAATAAAAAATCATTTGTAGTTGCAAAACCGCAAATAGAAATTTAAGGAATAAACATTTTAATAATTCAAAAATTTTAATTCATTTATGCAAATGTCAAGAAAAGAATATATATATATATATATATATATATATATATATATATATATATATATATATATATATATATATATATATATATATATTATATATATATATATATATATATATATATATAATACAGCAACAGAAACAAATAAAAATTTTAATACATAAACTAGTTGTGAGACAGATAGTATTAGGAATGATCTCCTTCATACCTAATACTACCGGTCCATAACTCTAACGCTCAGATATATCTATTAAAGTTACCCAAAATCAGCATGAATTAGGAATCTCAGTAAGCAGTAAAAAGTATATATAACATATTTAATTTATATTGACTAAATATTTTTGATTTACTTGGCCTTCTTTTGTCTGTTGCACGGTTACACAAAATGATTTTTTTATTGAGAAGACACCAGGTACAACTTCAGTATCTGCAGTCATATTCATATTTATTTCAAGCATTTCCTTGGTTAAGCTAATCTTGTTTAACATAAATTTTGAGTTTTCACCATTAAATGGAAAACATGGCAGATTTGCCTAAATTAAACAAAAAATGAACAAATCTTTATAACAATTTGTATTTCATAAACAGAAGTAATAAATATATAAAAATAGTAGTTTAAATTATGAACTAAAACACAAATAAGAAACTGAGTAATGCAATATCTGCTTTTTTAAGAAAGAAAAATGTATGTGCCCTGACTTAATATTAGTGTTGTTCAGGGGATTCACCTATATTTATTGATTTTTTTTAGGTTTAAAATGAATATTTTTTAATTCTGAAATTCAAATGAACAAAGTGAAGTGAATAACATAAAAGATAAAAGACGACTTCTCAATCTCTAAAAATCATAAAAGTGGCATGTAAAAATCTGTAAAAAATTTTGAATAAAAATTGTGATTTCCAAATCATTTCCAAAAAAAAAGTTTATTTTCAAATGATTCTACTTGATTCTGTAAATCTGCTCTGATAGCTATTGTTGGTAATAATAGTTAATAATAATTTAGTTAATAATAATAGCTAATAATTATTTTAGTTAATAATATAATAGTTATAATGTTAATGTTGGTTATAATAGTTAATAAAATTATAGAATATCTTTAAAAAACCCAATAAAATCCAGATTGTTTGGGTTTTATTTAGTTTTTTTAGGAGGGCTTTATTGGGTTTTATTGGGTGGGTTTTTTAATGCTGGTGTTGTTACAACTTTTAAATAATTTGACTGTTGACTAAATCGAATAATATATTTAAGATATCATTTCAAAATGCATTAAAATTTCAAATAAAAAACTGGCTTCTTATCAGGACATGAATGGTATTCTTATCAGAAAACAATGGCACTTTAGATGTGATAATTTTTGAGAGACTGTTTATGATAATTAAAAAAAGTATAGGATCAAGGACTTTGAGGAACCCCTGAAGTTACAGGAAATGAAGAAGAATGATGTCCATTGAGAACAACTTTTATACTATGATTGTTAAGAAAGGATTCAATATTCTTAAAGATGAGCTTATGGAGAAGACCAGCATTAAAACTTTAGAAAAGTGATAGCCTTAACCTCTCCACCTCTATCTAATGCACAATAAAACCTATCGGTTATTACTGTTAGCAAATCAGCTGTAGAACAAGAAGATCAAAATCCATATTGATGATCAAAAGTAAGTTATTAGATTCAAGGTGAAAGATTAAGTGTTTGTTAATTAAAGATTCAAAAACCTTGATTATGATAGCAAGAAGACTAATAGCACGATAGTTAAATCATCTTTTTTTCCAAGTTTGTAGCTTTACACTCTAAATGTCCGAACCACCTTAATCTTACTTAATGCACCTTATAAAATACATTTACTATTCGGAACCTCTTTTTAAGCTGTCTGAGATCATTGCTATTCTTTTAATTTTTTATTCACACCACACATCCATCTGATTCTACACATCATCTTCTTCTTCTTCTTCTTTCAAGATGGTGGACAAAAAACCAACAATTTTTCCTCTTTTTTACGAGTCTAGCTTTTTTTCCAACCATAGTTAAAGACATGAAAATAAAAATTATAAACTTTTTATAAAAAAAAGAAATTTTTTAAAAAATGAATACTGTGAAAGATTTTTGTTTCCCTGTATATAGGATTGAAAATATATTTAAGGAAAATAAATATAGAAAAACCTTTGCTTTACCTTTTGCAGCTAATTAAAAATTGTGTTGTACATGACAAGTAATATACTTTTATGCGTTACAAGTGGTGTACTAATGGTGGCAATTAGACGAAAGTAATTTAAACTTAAAAACTAATTTTTAATTATGTTTTGTCAACTCCTTCTTTTATAAACCCATATAGATGTAAGCAGGAATTAAAACCTAATATGCTCAAATCAAATGTTCATAATTATTAACAATTATTACAAACTTTTAAAACTATAATCAAGTTAACATTAATAATGTTTTATTTCATTAAATATGTTGAGCTTTGTATTTCGATGATTTTTTGTGGAAAGTGTTTTAGCAGAAAACTTTATTCCATTACTACATTATGAACAATAACACAATCAAAAGTCATTGTGTTTACAAGTTTATGATTGTCATTATCTGGATTAGTGGTTCAGTAATTTTACATATCACTGTATACCACTACATCTCTTTTGAACCCATTGATTACAAACTGTTCAAATAATTGTTTGCTCCAACTTCTTTCCTAATAAACTTCACACTGCCACTTTCCAGTATTTTTACTTGCTTTATGTTGACTTTACAATGCGTAACTTTTGTGTTATTCATGTTAATCTGAAACCCATTTGTATTCTTTTCATTTTTACAACAAAAAAAAATCTCAGTAACAATTTTTCTTGTCTTTACAGACAAGCATAGATCATCTCCTAAGGAAAATAAAATTAAAATCTTTTGAGAGAGCTCCCACAACAACAATAAAAAGCGAACGACTGAGCACGGAGACCTGAACAATTAAATAATCTATAAACTTTTAAAAATAACTTAGTAGTAATCTTTTTGTAACAGTAGTAATGTTTTGTAGTAATGTTTTTGTAACTGTAGTAATGTTTTTTAGTAATGTTTTTGTATTATTTAATTTTATTATATTTATGAGTAAGTTGCAAACAGGAATATTAAGTTAAAAGCAAACACAAATAAGTGTCCCAGAATAATAAACATAAATTTACTTTCAACCTGAAAACAGTTCAGGTTAGGCTAATAATGGTCTTTTTAACATTTAACTTAATCAGACATTTTGATTACCAATAAAAAAATGTTTTGATGATTAAAAGTAAAAATGTTGCATGAATTCGTGGTTTGATCAGATGATGTCTGACTGGTAAAATGCTCTGCAGTGGTTGTCAAAAAAATACAATATTTCAATGGCTGCCAACATGGCATTGTATTTTATGCAACCTGCCTTAAATAAGTTCCTTTTATGTTTTTAGTTCCTAAACCTTTTTTTTTTATTTTTTTTTATTTTAATTCACCTCCTCAAGGCCGAGAAGGCCACTACAGATAAGGAGGCTACTTATTTGTGGTTATAACCCTCTCTCAACTCTATAACTCTGAAACACGATCCTTGACGAACAAGGCCGCTGCGCGGAGAAACAAGTTGAGCGCGGTACTACCAGGGACGTGGTGGGGATCGAACTCAGAACCACTCGAACGGAACAAAACTATACCAAGTTAATCGAAATCAAAAATAATTAAATATTTAAATCAAAGCATGTTGTAATATAATTTAACTAAAAAAGAGGCTATCTATAAATGATATCAGTATATAGAGGAGAGAGGGGATACTGAAAATTTCGACAACTAAAAATGGGAGGAGGTTGTTGAGACTAAAATGATGTCAATTTTGAAAAACTTTTTTTTTAAGTTTATATTTACACCATCAATAAGATTTTTAAAAAATAAAAATAATACCATAAAAAATAACATTTTCATAATTATTTTTGTGTGAGAGTCAGCTAAAAATAGACAGTTCAACAAAGGGGAGAGGGATTGAAAAACCAGGAAAAATTACTGACATCATTTAAGGATGGCCCCAAATAGAAAAAGTAAAAAATGGAAATAAAAACTTTTATTTTTACCAGTATAGCAGGGTCAACGAAATTGATAATTGACAAAACATCATATTCTGAATTATGAGAAACTTCAAATACTAAACTTTCTTGATTCACATTTACAAACATAATCGTATCACTCTTGTTAATCATGAATGGCTGAACTTCTCTTTGTGAAATTTTGTCTTCACTCTTTATTTTTCTGTTGTTTTTTTCCTTATATTGTAATAAACTCTGCATAGAGTTTTGCAATATTTTTAATGTTAAATCACTCATCATATTTTCTTTTTTTACAGTGGATTTATTTTCAGCAGATTTTTCAATAAAACTAACAGGTAAAGTACTTTCATTTAGCAAAATTAAAATATCATTATTATTAGACAAACTAGATGTTTTGTTGAATAAATGCTCAGTTTTATTATCTTTGTCTTGCTTTATCAAATTATTAACAAGATTTGAAGTAATATTTACTGTAGTTTCCGAAGTATGACCAATCTTGGTAAAAACATCATTTAGTGGTATTGATAAGTTGGTTTTTAAAGTCATAGAATCATTTTTTATAAGAGATTGAACTTCCTTCATTATTGTAAAATTAAAATTCTTCTCCGGAGAAAAAAAACTAATATTTTTATTTATATTATCAACTGGAAAAATTGTAGAGTCTAAAGTATCATCTTCATCATTAGTATTTGTCATGACAATAGAATTTGCATTTCGCAACAAATCCTTTAGACTGTCTCTTTTAAAGTAATTGTAATCATGATTTTTAGTATGTCTAACTTTACCATAACCCTTTATATCACTATTCAAAATATTCCTGCTTTTGCTAACATAAGTTCTTTTTAGCTTTTCTCGATTTCTGAAGTCTTTATTTTCTTCATAGAACATGCTTTCTCTTTTGGTTCGCTTAACTTTAAAGTTACTATCATGTTTTATTAAAAAGTTTTTACTGCTAATATTTGAATACTTAACATTATTTTTTTTCAAAAGTTTATTTGGAATATGGTTTCTTTTTAAAAGTTGCAAATGAGCAAAGTACTCTTCCTTATTATCCAAAACATCAGGCTGATTAGAAACATAAGTTGCATTGTTACTTGATTTTATGTCTTCAACATGAAAAATTACATGTAGACCAGGAAGAAACTTTACTCTGCACTTTTTACAATAAAACTTGTCACTTGCTTCTCTTGCTTCTTTTATATTAATAACAGATATCTTCTCAGAAGATAACACTAGAGCGTGTTCTTTTACAGTTTTGAGAAAAGGATACACAGGTAATTCAACAACTGAAACTTTAGTTAAAGTATTTATGACTCCATTACTAAACTTTCCGAAAATTGCAACTGTAGGCTCAAGAGCACCATGATATTTTTGGATGGTTACATAAACTGGATTTGCAGATATGTATGCATTTGAACCCATATGCACACCACTAAGCTGAAATTCAAACATAATATTAGGTTCAATGTAGCCAATCAGAGTAGAGTTATAAAATTTTAAAGTTTGTAAAGAAAGTTCTAACTTTGTTTTTAGCGCTAGACCAACTGTTATTGAGCTAATGTCTATGTAAAAATCCTTAAGAAGGTAGTTTAGTTCAGTGGTAGGTAAATTTACAGTTTTAAATTCAAATATAGTCAAGCCTTTTGGTTTTTGAATTTCTATGATAACACCTTCATAATTAGGATTATTAGAATTTATACCAAGAGTATTGCTTAAAAAAACACCATTTAATTCAATATCCACTGTTTTTAACTGTTTTATACTTAAATCCCATATGACTTGTAGAAATACAATTTTTAAAGGTAGATATTTTTTATCTACTATATGCACATGACGCCCTGTTGAATTTATGTTTACTTCAATAGATCCTTCACTTGAATTACATATTTGTCCAGTCTTAGCAAAATCAATTTTTATGTTTATTAGCATAGAATAAAAGCTCATAAAACCTCCAGAGAGTTTTTCAAAATCTAAACTCGGAAATAGATCTTCCAAAACACTCAAAGCTGAGCATGGCTGAGTTACAGAAGTTATATTAATGCTGCATTCTATGCGCTCAATGTTTACCGAACCAAAATTTAGTTTTCTGGTGCCTGTTTTAGTTTTTGCTATGTCATCAATTCGCTCTAAATTAAATTTTAAATATAAAATAATACAAATATAAGATAAACTAATACAAACATAAACTAATATTAACATAACACAACTACCAGATAATACAAAACTTTAGAAACATGTAATATGCATAAAAGTATTTAACACATATCAAAATGTTTAGAATAAACTAGGAACTCACCTAATGATTGTTCAGTGTCACTATTTTTACTATCAGTGACATCTTTTTGATGAGCAAAGTGAAAATGACAGAAAAAGAGCATAATGATCTGCAACTTCATTTTAAATGAATTTTCACATTTCAACTAAAAAAAAAATCTATAAATAGCAAAAAATTTAAGTGATTTGCAATAATAGGTCATGGGAAGATTGCATCTGCAAACTGTCTAAAAATAAAAAAATATCAAAATAAAGTTATTTGATAATTATGCAATTATTCTTAATTATTCATTTTCTTGAAAAATTGTACAAACCATTAGAAAGACTATTTTTTTATGATTTATGTAATTTTACTTCATATATAAATTATTCAATATAAATTTTTATTTTATTATTAATTATAAAAATCTCAGGTAAAACTTTCAATTACATTAATACTCAATAAGATGAAAAAAAAATTTTACCTACTGTTTGCAATGTTGAAAACCACTCAGCAGGATCTCAAAACAAAAATATTAAAAATAAAAATAAAATTGTTCAAAAATATTAAAAATATTTTTTTCAAATTAGTTAAAACGAGAAAATTTATCACTTTATACCACTTATAATTAAATATAAATGCATAACTTTTAAAACCAATCATTGAATAACATTTTTATTAATTAAAATAAAAAAAACTAATATATATATATATATATATATATATATATATATATATATATATATATATATATAAAGTTATATAAAGTTATATAAATTATATATATATATATAAAGTTATATAAAGTTATATAAATTATATATATATATATATATATATATATATATATATATATATATAAAGTTATATAAATTATATATATATATATAAAGTTATATAAATTATATATATATATATAAAGTTATATAAATTATATATATATATATATATATATATATATATATATATATATATATATATATATATATATATATATATATATATATATATATATATATATATATATAGAAAGAGAGAGAGAGATTTTACTTAAAAATTGATAAGTGATTTCTACTAATTTATGATTGCACTGTATTTTAAAAAATATTAAGCACTCTATTAAGATACATTTAAAACTATTTCATGTATACTTATAAAATTGTATTGAGCACTTAGCTAAGCAATCTGGTATCTTACTGAAATAGAGAACTACGAGGGCTTCAGTAAATACTCTGTTAAATCCTCTATGTTAGGCTTCCTTTCTCCCTAGATAGTCGTTGTATATGTACACTCCCTGCATATTCATTCAAGATAATCAGTCGATGTATGTACATTCCGCTGTGCTAATACCTAAATAAATTCTCTCAAATTTAATAAAACAGTAAAAAATATATTCTGACTTATAACAAACAAAAATATAATATAAAGTTGCATTTTCATAGTTTTTTATGAAACAATAAAATTTGATTAGTTTTCTTAAGTATTCTAATGGTTTTTACTTCAAGTGCTCCTTTTTTTATCAACCTTAAAGCACAAAAACAACTTAAGAGATACATTTTACCATAAACTATACATCTAAGATTGTATCATATGTATGTATATATATATACATATATATATATATATATATATATATATATATATATATATATATATATATATATATATATATATATATATATATATATATATTAGCAATTTATAAAGCTTATAATACTTGAAAATGATAAATTTTATACAAATTTTTTACTTGCCTATAGTGTCAACCTACATTCAAACAGGTAAAGATCTTAAAAAAGTGCTGCCCACAACTTTACTTTTATATCAAGGTAGGTTCTATAAAAGGGTTAACTGCTTATATCACATTCATAACGTATTTTGAAGAAAATAAAACAACATACTTGGTATCAACATACTATTGTATATTCTATTACAAATAATTACAAGTTTTAAAAAAAGAAAATTATATATTTTTGGTGCTGTAAGAAAAATAAAAAAACATGTAAAAACAATAAACAAATTTTATTTTGAAACATTAAAATATTTTTATATATCTATAAATATATATTGCTAAAATTACTACTAATTAGCTGGCTAACTTCTTCATTGATTTCAACTATTGTTGCATTCTTTTGATTAAGAACAACAAAAAACTCACGAAATTTCGATCTTTTACCAACAATCCACCAATCAGATGTATACTTTGCAATAATTTCTCCATCTATTTTAAATGAATCAAAATCCTCATGTAAATCTATTAACATTTGCATAATTTCTGGAGAAACATTACTTACATTAGACTGAGATCTACGTGTATAGATACTAGACTTAATTGCTAAGTTCATTGAATTAAAATAAACAAAAGTAAATTGTTGCTCCAATGGAGTAGAAGAACGTTTTAATACTTGCTCTGTAAAAACATTTGATAAAGTAGAAAGTTGGGGGCCAATCATTTTATGAATTTTCGTACATAGTTCAGAATTTAATGATTGTAAATCAACTATTAAACAAAACACAAGATTGCAGGCTTTATATACAATCAAGTTAAGTTCACAGGGCAAACCATTAACATCTACAAATACTCTTGGAGCACGCTTTGGTGATCCAGAGTCTAAAGAAGCAATTTCAACAAAACCTGTCACAAACCTACCTGAATTAGATACATTGTAGTTATTTGTGGAGTTAGGATAAAAACCATTTGGTGAACTTTTAAGGGACGTATTAGGAGACAACTTTTTAATAGTCTCATCTTCAGCTGAGGGTTGCAGCAAACTTGAAGTCAAGTATTTATACAGAATTTTAAGGTTATTACAATTCAAAGTTGTCCATATTAATTGGTCATTGTATAAAAGACAAACATGCCTGACTGATTTAAAAGTTGCTTCAACTAAATTGCTAAAACAATTAACTTTAAGAAAGTCATTTTTATTGAGTGGTAAATAAGTAATTCCTTGGTAAACATCTAATATATCCAATTGACCAAAGTTTAAAGTCTGAAGGTATCTTGTATAAAAGTACTCTAATCTTTCTTTAAGCGATTCTAATCCAACAGTGTTTAATATAAAAGTTAACGTACCATTAAATAAAACAAACATGTCATAAGCTAGCTGCAATGATGCTTTTCCTAATGAATCTTGCACTTCATCTGGTAAATACTCTGAAACTTTTTTATCTTTGTTTATTTTTTCAACAAATGGGATACTAAGGGTAAGTACAATCCAAAAGTTTTTTTCTGGATTTAAAAAATATTGTTTCATTTTTTGTGTAACCATGACTTCACAACTGTGACTGGGATTAAAAATCATAACAAACTGAGATAAAGCTTGGCACAGTCCTACTGTTTTAACTTTTCGATCTAAAGAATCTTCTTGAGGAATATAAAGTAAAATCTTCTCTTCTTCATAACCTTCACGGTTCCCATAGTCAGTGTTGTAAATAAAAAAACTCAAAAGGCTGCTTCGTTGATGTGACATTTTCTATATAAATTTTTGATATATTAAAAAATATATAAAATTTTGCAAAACTTTATAAACTTTGCAGTTATTGCAATGAAATATTGAAATAAAATAAAAAAGAAAAATAATTTTATTATTTTAAAGATAAAATTTTACAAATAAAATAGAAAAATGTACAAAAAATGAAAAATAAAAAGTAAGCCTTTATTAGATGACTCTAGAAGACTAATAATAAACACATAAAATATACTCATAATTTATGAGTATTTATTATTATTATATATATATATATATATATATATATATATATATATATATATATATATATATATATATATATATATACATATATATATATATATATATAGCAATGTTGAACAATATAATAACAATATTTAGTTATGAAGATAGTTCAACTTTGCAATGACATCGCAAATAGTGGACGCTTTTTTTCTAACGGTTGAAAATATCTTTTTGAAAGAAAAAAATTGTAAATTAAACTAAAAATGAAATCAACAAAAAAGAAGAATAAATATTTAAAAGGAGAAAAGCAAAAGAAATATCTGAAAGAAAATAAGTAAAAAAACTTTAATGAATGAAATATATAAAAAGAATGGCAAAGAAAAAAAAAACTATTTAAACAGCGGAACCTCAATTGGCAAATCAAGATTTTTTTAAAATTTTTCATATATTTCTTTAGTTTTCATTCATATATTTCTTAGGATTATTTATTTTATTATTTATTTATTTTTCTTCAGTTTTTTAGCGTATAAAGATTTACTTATTATTTTTTATTAGCCATTTGTTTTTTTTTACTTATTATTTATTTTTAGTGGTATATAAATTTTTTATACAGTTATATATTGTTTGTTTTTATTTTCAATTTAGGCATTAATTTTATATGTTTTATTCTACCTTCTAGTGTATTTTTATTATTTTTTTTAATCTTAAGTTTTTTTGTTGTTGTTGTTTTTCTGTGTTTAATCTGTGGTTAATCTGTGGTTTTTTGTGTGGTTAATCTGTGGTTAATCTGTGGTTTTTCTGTGTTTAATCTGTGGTTTGTTTTTTTTGCAAAACTTTTTGTTTTGTTCGTAATGTTTGTTGTAACTTGTTTTGTTATAACTTGTATTATCAATATTATTAATATTATTATTAAGATTAATTGTATATATATATATATATATATAAATTATTTAAGTTATTTACTTGAGATTAGTATTCCAATACTATTTGTAAATAGTAAATATATAAATATATATATATATATATATATATATATATATATATATATATATATATATATATATATACATATATATATATATATATACATATATATATATATATATATATATATATATATATATATATATATATATATATATATATATATATATATATAACTACTTGTTTATATATTATATAAACAAGTAGTTTTTAGATCATATATTTGGTCTTCGGCATTTAAAGAGCTATTTTCAAGTCTATGATTACTGACGCACTTGTCTCCAAAGAGGTCAGAAAACAGCCACAATGATTTATTATTTATCGAAAAAAATATACCGTAAATATACCGTAAAATCGCCTCATAAGCTTTGAACTTTTTTTTATTACGCTTAAATAAAAAATTTTCAATTTTTTTTTCCTGAAACATACAGGGACTTACATTGATAATTTAAACTGTGAAAAAAAAAATGAAAAATAAAAACCAGTACTCAATATTTAATTTTATATGAGAAGATCTACTTTGACCGAACTTTGAATACCATCTCATAAGTTCGGTCGCTTTGTAAATCCTTTTTTTTTTTTAAATGTTGATTTAGGTGCCCCAAGAAGTCATTACGGTCTTATCAAGAAGCACCACGGAAGAGCATTTAATAGGAAGTTCACGCCTCCTTCCCAACCGATGTCGCAAAACTTGTCCAGAAGTGGGGTTTGAACCAGGAATCTTACGTTTCTGAAACAAGTGCGCTACCGCTGCGCCACGGCTGCTCCTAATAACACATCACGTCACGATTAGTGAAAACTAATTTTTAAATGTTGTTTTATTGTTTAATGATGATATAATATCAGTGTTGTATCAACAACACCCTCCTAACCAAGGAGGGTGTTGTTCCGGACTCTAAAAATAAGTCTTTTAGGGCGCCAAAGAAAACCACATGAAGCACATAAAAAAAAAAAGGATTTTTTAAGTATAAATAGTATTATTATTACTTATTACTTTTGTCTTTATAACATTTTTTTTAGGTGCCCTTTCTGTGATAAAACTGTAAGTCCTTACGGTTTTATCACAGAAAAGACCTTTAGGACTTCTTGGGACATCTACATGCTACAGTTGCTACGTCGCTGGTTAATAAAATTAAAAAGATATTTTTCATTTGAGTTAAAAAGAATTTTTCAACAAAAAAATACTAGTCACAATCATGGCATTTTTTTAAAATTAAAGAACTAATAGATTTACAGTGTTGATATATGGAAGTTACTTTACATTCTGATATAGTCGGAACTTTGGTTACCTCACTAGTTGTCATTTACGTTGTATAATAGTTGGTTTGTCAAACAAACCAGATTCCTTTGCCAAACGTTTTTGATTCCTAATTGAATAAGCCTCCTGTTTTGCTTTTCACTCAAAACCTTTTTGACTCTGATACGGCGGAGCCTTTGGACAGTATCAGAGTCAAAACTAAATGTATTGAACCTTCAAACTTGCGACAATGTGACAATGTTGGCAAATGTCTTTTCAAACCATCCAGCAATAGCAGGTCCTTCCATCCAACCGTTTGACCCGTCCTGAGTTAGAAGCTATTTGGACATCAATCTAAAAATTCAAATAATTTAATAGCAGTTTATTAAAATGCGGAGTTTTCCGGATTCTTCGCACATTTTTTAAAAATGCTTCTTAAATAAATACCCAAATTCATATTAAACAACTTTGGCCTTGGAACAAAACAAGAACAAGCAAAAATGTTTCAAAAACACACAAACGAGTATTGTGACTGTTGTTGCGGTACCAATACCATCGATCAATAGTTCCTGGCTGAGTCAACATTACACGGTTTGACAGTATATTATTTGAAATTCTGAGCGATAGCTCATCATAATAACGTCCAATATATGAGTTGTACTAGGCAAGTGTAACTTCACCGCCATTAAAACACGTTTGATTTGAATTAACGAAGTAGTTAAAACAACACACAGTATTTCAAGTGTAGTCAAACTAAAACCAAAATCACTCATAAATATTAAATTTTTTATTTAAATGTTCTCGGTGTTGTCGTTCAGCAAACAAAAAGACAATTTTTTTTAGTATGCCTGCCGTCGATGAAAGTTGATCTTTTGAAGCCAAATGTTATAGCTGTTTTTTTTTTCACTCATAACTTTATTATTATTTATTTATTTGTATTTGAAAAATGTACAATATAAAAAATGGTGAGACAGGTAATTACTAAATTATTCTTATGTAGCACCACAAAAAAAAAAAAAAGAAAATTCGATATGAGTTTATGTGAAAAAACCAAGTTAGTAGATTGCGTGACAATTTAAATCATAATTTTTTAAATTCGATTTGAATGCTGACAGTGAGGGCGAGTTCACTATGTGGTCAGAAAGTGAGTTCCATTCTTAATTCTTTCGCTATAAAAAAATATTCTAGTATCATTAATGTATTTATTACGTAGTGTAAACTTTTGGGAATGACTTCAAGTAAAATATTTCGAATTAGAAAAAGTAAAAAAAATCTGAAAATGGTAAATCAATGAGATTATGTACAATTTCATTAGTCATATAAAGATCAAATTTAATTCTGTGATACTCAAGAGATTCTAGTTTGAAAATAATAAGTCTTGATAAGTAATCAGTGTATGTAATATGACACCTTTTACAGACAATTCTGATAAAATATTTTGCACTCTTTCTATGCAAATTATATCTTTTAAAAGACGAGGGCTCCAAACTGGGGTGCAAGGTTCTAATACAGGCCGCACATAAATTTTACAAGCTTTTAACAAAAGTTGAGAACTGTTAGAGATGAAGGATTTTAAAAGTAAGTAATTGCGAGAGTATTCTATGCTTGAAATACGAGAGCAATGATTAGATAATTTCGTTTTAATGGACATTTGATTCCAATATCTTGAATTAATAAACAGTTTCAATATTGATAACGAAATAATGAATAAAGATGAGTAAGTATATTATATCTTCCGTAGCATAAATGAAAACATTTGTTGGTTGCAATTTTTAGTTGCCAATCATTGGATCATGCCAATTGGACCATGATCCACAGCCTTCAAACCACGAGCCATCCGTTTGTCTCCTTCGTTGTTTATCCATGAATGACCGAAGTTAGAGTATTTCAAAATTTCACTAGTTTTCAAAAAAAAAAAGATTTAAAAAGTTAATATTCAAAAAATAATAATTTTTTTTTGTAAATATTTTTGTAATTCTTAATAATACTTAGTTTAAACTGTGTTTAATCATTTATTTTAACACTTTGCTTATTTAAGATTTTAATAGGGTTCCTTTTTTCGAATTGTTGTTTTGCTTAAAAAAATTTTCAGCAGGTTACAAATAAATATTAAAATTTTTTTTATTGATTTATATTTGCAAAGTAATAACAAATATTATTCAAGTAAAAAATGTTTGTAAATTTTGAGTATTACGTGCTTTTTTTATTATTTTTTCCTAAATAACCGAAGTTACGTGGTGACCGAACTTAGGCAATTTTACGGTATATTTAATAAATATCCAACTTAGGCTACCGTTGCACAGTAAATCGCTTTATATAAGCAAGGTGGAAAAAAATATTTTGTTCAGCGATTTGATTCTAAAAAATATAATTAATAATATTTTGATTTGCTACGCATTTTATGATTATTTTTAGGCTTTATATGTAAGTATTTTTTATATTTTTAAGAATTTTTAGATTTTAATAATGAAAAAGGTTAATTAGGTAATAAAATAGATACTTTATTTCAACACTGTGGTGGTATTACAGGTGAGACAGTTAAATTCAAAACTTCTAACGGTAATTTACTCGTTTTCTAACTTGACAATTTTCTTACTTGACAACTGACAATCTCTTTATGAGTTGATGATAGGATCTGATATTAACAAAAGCATCTTGAGCAAATTTATATTTGTAGAAATAGCTCTTGTATGATGCTTGCGGAATTGACAAAGATCTTTAATGCGGGCTTCTTGAGACTCTTCCAATAGCTGTCCGATTGGAAGAAGACATATTTTTATAACTTCCATGCTATGTACAAGTATTTTGTGCACAGTAACAGGCATATAGTACCACCAGGGCCGGGTTAAGTATTTCTTGGCCTCCTCACACTTAAGCTCTTCTGGCCCCTATTAGCCTCCTTGTATTAAAATTTAACAGCGGTTGAAAATAAAAGAGTCTTTTGTAATTGTTGCGCTATGGCTTTATAATGTATTTTCCATTGTATTTAAACAAGCATCTCGCGTTATTTATTATTAAAAACACGCTGCAATTAGTATAGGTTTAAAAACACCTTTCGTCTGCATTTTAAGCTGACAAAAGCAAATATAATATCTTTTAGATCGATGGAATCCAATACTCGGTTTTCTGTTTGAACAATAAAACGATCTGAAAAACGTTTCTGAAAAAAAGCTCCAAAATCAATATATTCGTTCAATAAGTGAAAGTTAAGATTAGTAGGATATCCGTCAACAAGATTTTGTACACTGCAAGTAATCTCCGAGATATCCATGCTGCGGAGATTCACAAAAAAACCAAACAGAGAGTTCAATCCGAATAGGTTTTCATTCTTTTATCTAGATTACTCATTAGTTTTTCGGGGATCTCTTTAATGTGGGTAATCATTTAAGACCACCCAGAAAACACTGTAGTTTTCCACCTTGTTAATTTCATCATCGTAAGGCCTCTTGTGTGCTCTTTGAAGCCTTTGAACACAGACATATTCATCCGTGTTGACCAAAGACACGGCTTCCTTTTCATATTGCTCGATATTGGAGCGAACTTGCTGCACGTAATGCTTCAGATAGATATACAGTTCTTCAATCATACTTAAATTAAGAATTACAAAATGCAGTTTCTTGTTAACTTTGTTGAACATTTCCATGATTCTGTTTCGAATAATAAGTTGTTCTCAAGTTGTTCAAAGTTGTTCCATTCTGGTCATAAGTCTGAAGGCCTCTGCTCATGGTTTTGCTTTCTGATTATCGTTAAGGTCAAGAAGAGCCTATATAGAAAATATTTGTTAATAAGTATGCATAATCACAAATAAAATATTTAAATAGAATAAACCTTTTCAATAGCTAAACAAGTATCAGTACGAGCTGACCAACGAGTTTGTAGGAGAATCTAGGGAACCTTAACATGTATTCCAGCAACCCAGCTAGCACACTTACATTGGGCCAACATCGGCTCTTTTTTCCAAAAAATGCAAAAAATAGTAAACCACAATCAACACAAACATGATTTTTGTATTATGTATTACCTTAAATACAATGTTGTGCCAATTTAAAATACAACGTTGGGCCAACATATAAAATAAAACGTTGAATCAACGTAGAAAATATAAGAAAATATAAGGAAAAAAACACAATTAACAAACAGTTCTATTTGTGTTAATAAGGTATGCACCATTAATTTATATTATGGCTAAGAGTTATGCTGGTGCTCTAACTTCTGGCAATGCAACTTCTTTAACGAAAACCAAACTCGGAATATTTGAGTCAAAATCTTCATCTGAATTGTCGAATGTGGTTGTTTGCCGTTATGGCGATCTAAACTGTAGTGTAAACGAATTTTTGTCTGCCTTGGCAGAGAAAAAGCTACTTAGTCTTGTTTGGGGAGTCACTAGGCACTACTCTAACAAACTCTTTGAGTTCGCTGTGGTAAACGAATCCTCAGTAGCGTCCTTTTTGGAAACAAATATTGAAATTAAAGGTTGTGCCTTAAATTTCCAACAAAAATTCATTCGTAAAGTGCACGTTCTCGTCCAAAATATCCCCATCGGTACTCTTAGAAATGGCTGCCAAAGTGCTCTCATCCTCCTCGGTAAGCATCTAGCGGCGGACCTGTACACGGCGCACCCTAAACTCGGTGAAGTTCGTTAATTCTCGGGTTCGCTTTTGGTATTTTACAGAATAGGCGCTAAAATATTACGTTGATTCGCGCCATAATGGTAACGTCGAAAATAAATAAACAAAAACTTGTCGTAAATGCATTTTAATAAAAATTTAACATTTTAGAAAAAAAATTAAATTTTACAAATTATCAACATATATACATTAAATATTAGATTAAATAGATCTTCTAAAGGTATCTTCTCTTCTTAAGATTTCTTTTTGTAGCTTATCTTCTTTTAATCGATCATCTAAAGGTATTTTCTCGTAGCTTCTCTTCTTTACATATCTTTTTGTGGCTAATCTTCTATTAATCAATCTTCTACAGTTAGTTTTTGCAACGTATATTTTGTATTGTACATAAAAAAAAAACAAGTTCAATATAAATAATATGAAACATTTTCAATGTAAATATTATATTATAATTACTTTACATTACAGAGGATACCTGTCATTAATATGTTTTAAGAATAAAGAGAAATTTTCCCAAACATTTTTATTATAAAAATCATAATATTCTCTGTATACAGCTTCATCTAGCCTAGACCACTTTAAATCACCCTGTGATCCAAAAACATACTTTAACCTTCGTTTCATCCGACACCAAAACGACTCTTTTTTCATGATTTGTTGATGCTCCAGTGTCAGGATCAACAAAGTTTATTGTATGGTTTACAGTGAAATGATTGTAACCTAAGTTATTTAATTTAGTATAAGAAGCCCACTGATCTGAGTGTATTATTGATCCAGGTGCAACCCATTGTTGAATTATTGGCACTAATGTCTGAGCTGTTCGATCCTCTACCCTTCTTAAGTATCCTTTCTTACTAGTTACATCAAATGCCCTGAAAATCCAATGTTTTTCAACGTTATGCCCAACATTATATTTTCGTTTAAAAAATAAAGATTCATCTATTTCTACGATGAGCCCTGGACCACCTAATTGATTAACAGCAGCAACATCCATAGTTTTAAATGAACAAATATCCCGGAAGTATTGATACCACTGAATTGAGGTTTTTTCGTTTACACCTACTACCTCAGATGCAGCGTTTACAGGGACCTCCAGGATCCATAAAAACATTAATTGAATTATCAGATTATTAAATAAAGTATTATTATTAAATAAAGTATTTTTAAGATACAAGGGATAATCTGTTTTGTGTAAATAATAAGAAAAATGTTAAGTATTCATACTTGACAACGTTCATAATTTTGCACAAGCATCCTTTGACCACATAGACAAAGTTTTTGAAGTGGCATTAGCCTTTTTTGTTGCAAAAAATCAACCAATTTTTCTTCTTTGATACTTTCAATGAACTTAGCTAAAGGTGTCATCTTACTTATTTTAAAGGCGGTAAAAAATTGGCTTTTGAAGCGCGAATTAAAACTTTTGTGCTAAATTTTCCAATTAATATTTCCGTTAATATTAGCCAATCATTAAACGGCAAAATTATTGTTTCGAACTTTACCGAGTTCGTTTACGAACTTCACCGAGTTTAGGGTGCGCTGAGTACAGGTCTGCCCATCAAACTCCCCTCTTCCAGCAGGAAGAGGGGAGTTTGATTCCTTTTATCTACAGAAGTGTAAAACCCACGGTGAAGACCTTTTCACAGGTAATGTAATTATAATTATCAAAAACTGGAAAAATCCAAACCTAAACCCTTTACCTCGATATCAAAACGTCGATGGTCTCACTCTCCGTTATAAACACATTGGACAACCGGAATCTAACCCTCAAAAGTCACCAAACCCAACCGCTTTACCCTTATCTTCACCACAACCTCTTGTACCACAAATCGCCAATGCAAGTGTCGACATTGATGTTAACAGTGGCAGTGTTGACATCAATGTAGACGATAACACAGTTAAAAAATGTTCTAAAGAAAAAGAACTTCAAATAAAATCACAAAATTCGAAACCCCCTCAACCAACAAGGAAACGCCTTGGTCAAGTGGAATGTGAAACTCCCAAAAAGGTAATCAACACTTCAGAATTAGAAGAAGCCATGTATTTGGAAGAAGAACTTTCACCAAGTGTAAACGATGGAATGCTTTCTGAAGACGAAACAGATATTTTAATTATTGATGAACAATATGAAAGTCAACCAAGTGCGGAGAAGAAATCGTAAGATTAGTTTTTATTCTTATCTTTTTCTTTTCACTTTTTCTTTAGCTCTGTTCTCAAATTAGATTTTAATTTGAAATTTCTCGTTCTAAATTTTTACTTTTTCTCACGCTTGAATTTTTCCCGCTAAAACTATAATTCTTTTTTGTTAAGTTCGTTCTATTTTTTTCTTCTTTCATTCAAACTCAAAACTCATTAATTATGCATGTGAAAATTTTGTTTAATCGCTTAAGCTGTCGTAATTTGTATTGTTGTAGTTCGCGCATTTGTGTAAAATGTTATGGTCCAGTGCGTCCATCTGTTCGTATTACGTCAGTTATATCGAAAACTCGTGCTTTAGGTTTAAGGTTTAAATGTTTGTTGTTTTTTTTTATGTCAGGTCGTAAAAATATCATATTTATGTTTATGTTACACGAGTTTTCAAATTAGGAAAACTGATTCTCTCCATCATGACTCTTAATGTTTTAACGTGCAACATAAACGGTTTAAACGACCAAGAAAAACGCGACAATTTTTTTGGGTTTCTAAAAACATCCTCCTTTGATCTCGTCCTCCTACAGGAAACACACTCTGGACCTTCCACTGTTCAACAGTGGGGAGACGAATGGACTGGCGAGTCCATTTGGAACTCCGGTCCAAGTCATAACAGTTGCGGGGTGGCGGTTCTATCGAAGTCCAACATTTCTTTAAACGAACTAAAAAGGGATACTAACGGAAGAATATTAGATGTCATAATAAAATTTGACGAACACGAAATGCAGGTGATGAATATTTATGCTCCTAATGTGCCGAGGGAAAGGCGCCATTTTTTTGGCGACCTTGTTGATTTCTCGCAGGACACAGGACTACCCGTCCTGTTGGCTGGAGACTTCAACATGGTCGAAAGCCTGCCCCTCGACACAGAAGGCACCAACAACGCAAAATATCACACCTACGGCGTGGACGAACTCGGGGTATTCCAAGGTAAGTATAACCTGGTTGATGTTTTTCGTTTTAAATTCCCGAACAAAAGAGAATTCACATGGCGAAATCAGAAGGCAAAATGTAGACTCGACCGAATCTACTGCCCTGAAAAAATCGCAAAAAAAACAACATACACAAAAATTCTCACCAACCCCTTTTCCGACCACGAGTTCGTAACAACAACCGTCAATTTTAGAAAAACCAGGAGAGGACCAGGATACTGGAAATAAAATTGTTCTCTTTTGGAAATAGAAGTGATTAGGCAAAAAATTGAACTCTCAATTAAAGATTGGCAAACTAGAAAACGGTCCTACAACTCAATTTTAAAATGGTGGGACGACTGCAAACTTTTTGTTAGGGTAGAATTACAACATATATCTATTCAGGAAAGTGCGAAAAACAAAAAACAGATCAAAAGGATTGAAAACGAAATCCAACGGGAGCGACAAAACGCTAACCCGAATTTAGATAGCATCAAAGAAAAACGCGATGCTCTTTTCTTGCTCCATTTCCCAGGAGCGTTTATTCGCACGAAGCAAAAACTAGTTGAAGAAGGAGAAAAACCTTCAAAATTTTTGTACAGTTTGGAAAAAACTCAACAGAGGAACAAGTCAATTACCGAAGTTCGCAAGAACGACGGAACATTGACGAGTGAACCTGGCGAGATTTTAAAATCCCTAGTTTCTTATTACAAAAACATCTACACCAAAACAAATTTATGCAAAGACAGCCAAAACTATGTCTTGTCACACATCACTAAACATTTGAGTGATGATGAAAACAAATTTTTAAACACCCGCCTAACCGGCGCGGAGTTAAAAGAAGCCCTATTTAAATTTGAAAACGGAAAATCCCCGGGCTATGACGGACTTCCAGCTGAATTTTATAAAACTTTTTGGCACATTTTAGAAAAAGATTTTGAAGAGCTTGCTTACGAAATACTTTTCGTAGAAAAAAATACCAGCCACTCTATGAAAAAATCAATAATTTCACTAATTCCCAAGCAAGGAGATCTCACTGAATGCAAAAATTGGAGGCCCATATCCTTAATCGGCGCTGATTACAAAATAATCACAAAAGCGCTGGCCCTAAGACTTGCAAAAGTAATGGGGAAAATTATAGAACCAAATCAAACTTGCGGAATTCCAGGTAGAACAATATTCTCAAATTTACACCTTGTCCGTGATCTAATAGATTACGCAGAATTTAAAAATCTACCTAGTTTCATTTTATCAATAGACCAAGAAAAGGCGTTTGACAAAGTCGATCGTGCGTTTCTGCTGCAAATTCTCCGAAAATTCAACCTCGGAGAAAATTTCGTATCCTTTATTAACACCCTGTATTCAGAAATTTCGGCATCTATTCTGAATTGTGGTTTCTTGTCAGTCCCTTTTCCCACCGAAAGGGGAGTTAGACAAGGTGACCCACTCTCTCTTTTGTTGTACGTCTTTGTCGCCGAAGCCCTTGCTTTGGTGGTCAGAGCGGACGACAGAATAGAGGGTTTTCCTTTACCAGGAACACCGAAACCGCTTAAACTACAGCAGTACGCAGACGATTCGAACTTTTTTGCCAGGGACGTAAAATCAGTCCGCTTTTTTTTTGAAGCAGTAAAACTTTTTGAAAAAGCAAGTGGTTCAGTGATCAATGCCTCAAAAACCAAGGGTCTTGCTCTTGGGGGCTTTGATCCCAAAATGTACCCGGAATTGGACAACATAGAGTGGACTAATAACACCGGTTTCAAAATTCTAGGTGTTACGTTTTACACCAGGCTGAGTAATACTACCAATTTCAACTGGCTAGTAACTCTAACCAAAATAGAGAAAAAACTCAAGTTTCTGGGACTACGTACTTTGTCACTTAGGGGAAAGACTATGTTGATAAATACGTTAGCATTGTCAAAAGTGTGGTTTCTGGCAAACGTGTTGCCCGTTCCCGAATGGGTAATAGAACGTTTGCACAGCGCCATTTTCGAAAATCTGTGGCAAAAGACCAATTTTAATCCGGTCAAAAGAGAGACGCTTTTCTTACCCGTCAAAAGCGGGGGTCTCGGAATTCTATCACCGAAGGAGCAAAGCCTTGCGCTCCGCCTCAAAACACTCTTTCAACTGAAAGAATGCGGAGAGGAGAACACCCACGATAATTACTACTTTTCAAAGTACTGGTTAGCAAGTTCACTTATTAAATTTACAAATCAAAACCCATGCTGGAATTTTTTAAAACAGAACAACTTTCCAAAACACTGGGACAACAAAATGTCTCAGTACTACAAAACAACTATTGAAATATTAGGCCAAAACGGGTCCCTTTTTAACATCCCCCTAAAATCAACAAAAAATTTTTACTTAGAAGTGGCAAAAAACAAAAAGACAGTCGTACCAGCAGAACTTTTCTGGAACGGTTCAACAAAAACAACAATGCCGTGGACCCAAATTTGGAAAAAGAACTTCACCTCCCACGCATGCGGACCGACTCAAAACATCCTCTTTCGATTTTTGCACAACAGTCTACCTTCTGCGGCCTTGCTAGCCAAAAGCACAAGGCAACAGATAGTCCAAAACAACAAATGTAAAACTTGTGGTAAAATCGAGGACAATCTTCACATCTTTGCCTACTGTCCTCCCTCTGTTGAAATTTGGGAATATTTTAAACATGTATATAACTCCTTGACGTCCCAAAAGGGTTTTTCGCCGATAAATTTGATTTTCTCTATCGGAACCGCGAATTTATCGGAAAAAAACCCTACCTCGCAACTGCTGTTGACACTCACCCAAACCATCATGAGTGAGATATGGAACAGCAGATGTCACCACATGTTTAGTAACATGAAAATTGACCCAATGGCAGTGATCAGGATAATTATCAGGAAAATCAGGAATATCATTACTTTAAAATATAATTATCATGTCCGTAGAAACACTACGGACATTTTCTGTCAACTTTTTTGTGTTAAAAATATAATTTGTCAAGTAGAGAACGGAAGACTGAAACTAAACATATGAGCTAAACTGACACCCTAGCTCAAAAAGAACTATATGTTTAGTGACGTTTTCCACTTCTCTACGTATTATTATTTTTACAACAAAATATTATTATTTATAATTCGAAAATCACTGCCAGCCATAATTTTATGAGCTATAATTTCCCTTATTAAATGTTTTTCTGTAGTGTACGTAATGTGGTGTTGGTGTAAAAGTATTGTAATTTTTTTTTGCTTTTATTTTGTTATAATTCCTTTCTTTTTAATAAAAACTTCTTGAATTCTCTTTAAATTACCTTCCTCTTTAACTTTTCTAAACTTTCGACTTTTTTCCGCACAATGTCTTTCTATTTAAAAAAACAAAAATACAAAAAAATATAAAATCGAAAAACACAAAAAAATATAAAATACAAAAATACAAAAAAAAAAAAAAAAAAAAAAAAAAAAAAAAAAAAAAAAAAAATTAAAAATATGAAAAGAAAAAACTATATATATATATACGGCAACACTTGTATTATTACTATTTTATTTTATTATAATTGTAGCTTCTGTTAACGTTTTTGAAAAATAAAATCAACTCATTGTAAAACGAATATATATTGTAAAACTTTAAAGTTTAACATGTTGAGATAATGTATTTTTTATAATTGTAAATAAATACTATTTTATAATAAAAAAAAAAAAAAAAAAAAAAAAAGAAAATATAAGCATTTTCCGACTTTAAATAAACGTTTTACCAACATTGGTTTTTAGTTGTTGGCGACGTCTGTAATAGAATATCGTATCCGCCTAGATTATCATATCCCCCATGAGAAAATTGAAAACGCAGATGCGATTTAAAATTATAGTATTTAGAAGTGCACCGAAGTCGTCCGAAATGAAAAACAAATGAGTTTTTAAATATATTTGGAAGATTTTATTGATTTATAGTAGTGGGAAAATATTGTTTTCTACATATGAATTATAATGCTTTAAAAAGAGTTTAAAGAGTTAAAAGATGTTGAAATAATACGTATCATATCATGTGTTATTAGGTCAATGGTATTCATATTATTTTTACCATGGCCCATGCATGGGGGATATGATATTCTAATCAACAAATTAATTTAATATACAAGGATATAATACCACGTATGTTGTCCTAGTTTATACAATACCTACTAGCATTTTGACTCTTAAACCTAGTTTGAGAATGCTATTATATATATATATATATATATATATATATATATATATATATATATATATATATATATATATATATATGTATATATATATATATATATATATTTTATATAGTTTACATATTTACAATAGAGGAAATATTTGTTAATTGTGTTTTATGTAAAAAATTGACCAATAATGATAAATGTCATTTTGGATGTTATACATTATGGGAAAATGATCTTCTCAAAATTTGCAACACATGTGCAGGTATATAATTTTTTATGTAATTTTTAATTTGTCTTAGAATAATTATATTTAAATCAAATAAAACAGATATTCTTTCATTTAATAGATTCTATAAGTGGTATATCTTACCAAGAAAAAGTTGTTGTAGTTAAAAGAGGTATCCTTGTCACTCTATATTTGTATTATGTGTTATGTTAATATATATATATATATATATATATATATATATATATATATATATATATATATATATATATATATATATATATATGTATATGTTTGTGTGTGCAAGTGTGTTTCTTTTTATATATATTTATAATAATGTGTGTTTATTATTTAGCTTTTCGAAAATTTACAAAGCAATCAATTAGTAAAATTTCATCATCAGCATTGCTTAAGTCAATTTTTGCTGGTCAAGTATGTGTAACTTATGTCATTATTAAAAATTTCTTACAACTTTAATTAAGAAATATGAGTTAAGAAAATGAGTTCAAACCAAACAAGTATTAAACATTATGCCAAAATTCTTAAACAAAAATTTGACTCTTTTTTTGTTTTTAACTTTATACATTATTATGGTAATGTTTTTTCAGACTTTTTAAAAACAAAGTTCTACCATTATTTTATTGTCTTATAGCTATACAGTTATAGATATATTATTTATAAATCTGGTGCAAAATCAAAAAGTAAGTTTTATTTTAAATTTTACTAATATTAAGTTAACTATATTGTGCTTTTTTTTTAAACTTTATCAAATATTACAATATTGTGTAATAGACATAAGAAAATGATTTTTAATTTTTTTCAAAATATTCAAAAAATCAACTCAATTTTAAAATAAAAGGGAACCTTATGGACCAAGATTTGATGCATTTGTTGTCAAATGATCAAAAAGACTATATATTTTTGGCTTTACGCGAATTCTCAGATAATCTTAAGGTAAGTGTTATAACTTATAAGGGAATAAAAAATTGATTATTTATGTTTAAAGTTGTTTAAGTTGTTTAAAAATTATTTAAAAAAAAAAGAAAAGTTTAAAATTTTGTTTTTTCATTCAGCATAGTGATTTTACATTTAAAGTCTTGGTCCCTGAAGCAATATTGTATTTGTTTGCTGAATTGGAAGGAATTTTAAGAAATAAAGTATTGTTAATTAAATTGCATATTAATTAATATTGTAATATAATATGTTAATAGTTTATTTTAAATATTTTTTAGAAATAATCATTTATTATACACATAGTTAGGCAAAAGTCAGATATATATATATATAAATATATATATATATATATATATATATATATATATATATATATATATATATATATATATATATTTAGTCTTATGTATATATATATATATATATATATATATATATATATATATATATATATATATATATATATTATGTTTTACTAGGCTGAAGTATTGTTAAGCTCTTACTCTTCACAAAGGTTTGTTTAAGTTTAAGACTAAATTTGGTATCAATCAATATTTTTTATGGTTTATTTTGTAATTTACTATTGGTAATTAAATACATTGATTGAATGATTGATTTCGTTTCAGGACTAATGAGCTAGTGAATAAATTGCCTGATGAAGATGATGCTTTTTCTGCAGGTAATGATTATTTGTTTGCTGTGTCTAGACAGTACAATATGTGCTCAATAAGTTGAACCCCATTGGGCTATAGAAAATTATTCCACTAATCAAAATTTGTTCAATGGAATGCAAAATTCACTTGACGGTGGTTCCTCTTACTGCCTGTTGCTTTTTTTTTTAATAAAATGTAACAAATTATTATTGCCATAATTGTATGTTTTTTTTATTTTTAGATAAAAATCTGGTTGCAGGAAGCAAGGTTTCGCATCTTTAGATTGATTTTTTTTTTAAGCGCAATAATGATATTATGACCTTATTAATTGTTTCTTTTGTTATGACTTATTTAATATATAATAACACTTCCTTATTATTTAATTATTTGTTAACACAGGAACTTTTGAATGGTAGTGCTGATTTTAGTGAAAATGAAAACAGTTCCAATAAAGAATCATCACAAATCGCCCAGGTTAATCTTAATTTAAATAATAATTATGTATTATGTAAAATTAGTTAAAAAGTAATAATTGCATTATTTATGTTGTTGTCTGTAAAAGATTATCGCGTCCCTTATAAAAATGCTATCATGATTTTAAGTTATAGCATTTAGGAAAAATAATAATAGTTAGAAATATTTTAATAACCAAAAGGCAAAATTGTGTAAATTTTTCATATTTTGAATACGTAGTTTTCTACATTGATATTTCAATACATTTCTAAATGGCGAATGAAAATTAGTAAAAGTTTAATGATGTTCAAATAATACATATAATATAGAATTGGTATTTTATTAAGTTATATGTAGGAAGTGTTATTATATATTATATGGTATTATATATTATATATCATGCGGTAGTGGTGTAGTGGTAAAACACTTGCTTCATAAGCGAGAGGTTCCGAGTTCGATCCTCACCATGTCCCTTGTAGTACTGCGCTCAACTTGTTTCTCCTCGCAGCGGCCTTGTTTGTCAAGGTTCGTGTTTCGGAGTTATAGAGTCGAGAGAGGGTTATAACCACTAATAAGTAGCCTCCTCGTCTGTAGTGGCCTTCTCGGCCTTGAGGAGGTGAATAACAAAAAATACATATATATATAAATTTTGAAAGTTATTTAATATAATATAACAATAAATATTTTTAGTTTTTTTTCAGCCTGTATTGGAAAAGGAAGAAAAACAACCACAATACTTTTATAATTTTATTACATATTTGACCGAAAATATATATCCACCTGGTCTTGGAAAAAATGATAAACGTACGTTTCGAAGTGTGGCAAAAAAGTATTGTGTACAAGGTATGATGGTTAAAAATATTCTTGTTTTACATTCTTTCACTGATAATGTTTTTCAAGTTGTAAATTTTTTGTAGATGGTAAGCTCAAGCGAAAAGTAACTGTGTGTGGGAATTCTGTTTATGCAGATGTTATTATGGACACGGAGGAAAGACTAAAAATTTTTACATTGGAGCATGACAGTCCTTTAGGAGGACATAGTGGCCAAACAAAAACAAAAGCCAAAATTATGGAAAAGTATTATTGGCCTAATATCAGCGGAGATATTATAAAATGGGTAAATTGCTTTCTTTTCAAAAGGGAAGTTAACTTTTAATATTCCCTCTATATAATTCTTGATTTTTAATGCTTCCATTTTGTTTTATAAATCTTTGACCGTTTTAAATACTTTTTCTTTAAATTATTCAAAATAACTTGACTGTTTTAACTCCTTTAAAGGCCTAATGTCTACCAAGATATACAGCAAAGACAACAGGGCATATTTATCTATATTACATATGTTTTTTATCACATATTTTAACTAAAGGTTTCTTAGTAATTCTGACAAATGCTTATCTCACAGGTAAAACAATGCAAGCGTTGTCAAACATCTGGTCAGCTGATTTCTGTTTCAGAGCCTTTACATTCAATAAAGGTAAAATGAAATAGTGTAAAAAATATATAAAAATAAATTATTATTTTTTTACTCTACTCTATAAATATAGAAATTTGTCAAATAGTTATTTTAATAACTATTGTAGATATAAAATTGACCAAATACAGTAGTAATATTTGAGATAATTTTTTTAGACTACGCGAGTATGGGAAATTGTTGGGATAGATTTTGCTGGCCCATTTACAGAAACATCTATGGGAAATAGATATTTTATGAGCTGCACGGATTTATTTTCAAAGTGGCCTGTTGCTTATGCATTGCCAAATAAGGAGGCTTTAACGGTAGCCAAGTCAATAATTAAGTTAGTAACTACATTTGGGTTTCCATCTGTAATACTTTCTGACAATGGTTCAGAGTTTTGTAATGAGGTAAAGACTTTTAAAACATTAATTTAAAACAAAATATTTTGATGAGATTACTAAAATTTTACATTCTTTCTAGTTAAACAACGAAATGTATAGGTTGTTAGGAATAGAGCGAAGAAAAACGGCTGTTTATCATCCTCAAACAAATGGCCAAGATGAAAACACAAACAAAAATATAAAAAGGCATTCAGTCTTATTTTGTGTATTTTTAAATTCTAGACTGGTTATATAAAAACAATTAAATTAAATTTTGTTAGAACCTATTTGTAACAGAATTGTTTTGTTACTTTATTTCATGGATTTTTATTAGAAAAATAAGAAAACTAATTGATGAAAATCAGTCCAATTGGGATGAATTTCTTGATGTAGTCTTGTATCCACTACGAGTTGAAAGACAAACCTCTACAAAAGTTTCACCATTTGAGATTATGTTTGGGGGTCGCTTACCAGTTTTTAGTAGTGAATTAAAAGAAGTAAATACATTTTGTAAAATTAAAAAAAAAATGTTTATTTTATTAATTACAAGTGCATTTATTATTTAGGAAATTATTGTTTTGGGTCCAACAGAGGAAGAAGTTATAGTTGAAGTTGAAAAAAATAGGAACCACGTTGAAAATTTAACAAATCTAATTTCTAAGGTAAGTGTAACTTGAGTTACTTAGTTGAGATAATGACTGACCAAAAGTTGTACACATTATCTTTAGAAAATTATAGTTGTGTATCAACACTCAATTGATTTTAGAACATCAAAGATGCTCAAGCAAAACAAAAAAAATATTATGATGCTAGAGTCCAAAAAAATTGTAAAGTATCTGCTGACCCAATTATGGTAGGAGATAAGGTTTTACTTCTGGACATAAGAGGAAGAAGAAGCAAAGGGGCTGCATTCAAGCCAAGATTTAAAGGACCTTATTATGTAGCCCATATTACAAAATGTGGGAATTTTAAACTCAATGATTTGAATAACATTCCTTTAAAAAGCACTCACAAAAAATTGCATATTAAAAAGTTCATTGAAAGTTTGGAGAAAGGTATTTAATATTTAATTTAATTGTTGAAAGAAAAAATTAGTAACTAATTTTAAATTGAAAAAATTTTTTTTTTTTTCTATTTTATATAAATTTATAATAATTTATAGTTATTTTGAAAAATGCTGAGCGGTTTATAATTTTTTAAATGTAATTTTTAGATGTAATTTTATGTTTGGTTTGGATGGTTTTCATAATGACATTAATGCCATTATGAGAGAGTTGAAGCAATATTTTACAACCGGATGTCCTTCCTGACATTAACATGATCAGGTTGTACTGGACTACATGTTACCAGTAGCAGGATAACGTGACTTGACGTAAGGATACCCTGACGTGACGGTCCAACAGGATGATACATATCGTCTTTATATACTTAGGTTGTACTATTTATCTGTTACCCCTGAGAGTTTGACTAAAACGGAATTTTTTAAAGTAATAGTTTTCCAATATATTAGAAAATGTAAAATAAAGTCAATAATTTAATTTCTAGATAATGTTTTAGAGAATACTGTTACAGAACATTGCAGCAATGTTGAAAACATTGAAGGTATATATTGTTCTGTCATAGAGTATGAAATAAAAGACTTTTTTTACAATCAGAGGTCAGCAAGATGTATAATCGGGTTTATGACATGCACCAGTAGTCATCAAAATACAGATTAAAAGAAACTTCTTCCTCAACCCTACTTCTTTCTGGTCACATTAATTCTTTTCGATAAAATAATTATCATTACAATAATTATCTTATTGTTATTTTAATTGCTAAAATCAAATATGTCTATAATATGTAAATATGCTTCATGTATATTTATAGTGGTAACAGATACAAAAATAAGTTGCCTGATCGAAGATTTTAAAGGTACGTAGCATTTAATGGCACACCAATCAATTAATTAGCATGTAATGGCACACCAATTAAATATAAAAATATAACTACTTATAAAATATAACTAATAATAAAATGTTTAGTTTTAATCTTTTTGAAAGTTTTATGGTGTTTTTTTAGTATATGTTAATAGTCTATAGTATTTAATTGTAATCATAAGATGTAGCACTATTGCAATTCAAAATAGGTGATATACTGATGGAATATCTTTGTCAGATTAAACCTATTAAAGCTGTAATGGGTATCTATTCCAGTTTGGGTGGTTGTAAGATATACGATTACTCGTTACATGATGCTTTAAATGGCTGTCTAAGCGATGAAGTTGTTTACGTTTATCTTAGACTTTTGGCAAGCGATCAGAAAAAGGTAAGATTTTTTTTAGGAAAAATAGTTAATAACAATATTCTAGCGTTGAAGTATCTTATATTACCTGTTTAAATATTTACTACTATGCTGTTTAAACTATATATATATATATATATATATATATATATATATATATATATATATATATATATATATATATATATATATATATATATATATATATATATATATATACATTTGAATATATAATAAGTATCGAATCCAAGTATTGGCGCCAGCTGGGTTAGTTTCATTAGAAGAGTTGCCACAGCCAACTGACTTGATAAGAAGAAAACATGTGGTAATTTATTGTTTTGTACTGTTGGATAAAACAGTTATAAATATACATATATATATATATATATATATATATATATATATATATATATATATATATATATATATATATATATATATATATATATATAGTAATGCTTATAAAATTTTTATTTCATTTCAGAATGAGCTCTTTAAGCTTGATATTTTAATATGCTGTGTTGTTTTGAATTTTCATTGGACACTTACAGTAAAATTATTACAATATATTTTTTTTAATGTGCCATTTCTTTTATATAGAAATATTTTCAATGTGCGACTAAGGTTTTGTTTTCCAATGTTAACCAACCAGTTTTAAATCACACATATTTATTATTTTCATTAGTTTAGTCGGAAAATACTGAACTTATTATTGTAGTGTAATTTCTATAATTAATTTGGAGACTTTATTTCTTGAGATTATCAAACCACGTGAGAAAATAATCCTATATATTAACCCTCTTGGTGAAACCAAAGCTTCTATATTAAAAGAAGAAAAAAAGTGGAAGTATGTTATTATATCAATGACTTTAAATTTTGAAATTTGAAATTCAAAATTAATCAGATATTAAAAAAGAATTAATTAATTTTTTTGTACATATCTTAGTAGTTACTTGATGCAAAGATACAGTGTTATAGAGAAATTCGAGTTAGTGACATTACCACATGCGTTACAAACTGACAATATATCATGTGGAGTATTTTGTCTGAAGGTAATTTTATTAAAACATGTAGTTGTGATAAATTTGAACAAATAAATTGTTTGGAAAAATTAGAAGCGCATCACAAAATGTGGACTCAGTGACAAAATATAAAAGTATTTACTGTGTATCAAAGTGTCACAAATTTTAAACCAAAAGCATAAGGAAAAGATTTAAATATAATCTAATCATAAAAGTAATATAACCTTTAAGTAAACCTGCATGATCTTAGTACTGCATGCATATTGTGTTGAAACCATATGAAGTCATAACATTCATATATTTACTTAAAACGAAATAATAGAAATTAAAAGTTATTTCTTTTTAGTTTTAATTGTATCATTGAATTATATCAAGAGGTTGTAATAATTATTTTTAGTTTGCTGAAAATTATATAAATGAATCAGAGTTGGCGCTTAACTTTCCACTAGAAGATGTTATAGAGTTTAGAAAGAAAGTGGTGCATTTACTTATGGAAAGAGGAGGTCTGTTAACAGTAGTTTTGATGTTGACAAAAAGGAATCTTTAAAAAAAATAATAAACTGTGGTGAATGTTTAAATTAATAGGTCAGAGAAGATGGCAAGATAAACTTTGTCGAATCTGTGGGAATGAAAGAGGACCAAGTACACAACAAATTAAAAAGTCAGATAAATGGGTATATTAACTAGATTTGCTTACGTTTTTTATTATTACGTTTTAAAGTTAAACGTTTATTTTTAATCAACTAAAAGAAGGTGCATTACCTGAAAAACCACTACTGTTTTATAGATAAAATGTGCTAACTGCATTCCAAATAGATGGTTTCATATGGAATGCATTGATTATGCAAAAGAAACAAGTGATTTATTTACTTGCTCAAACGTTTCTCTTTCTAATGTAAGCTGTTAACATAATCATTTCAATTTTAGCGCTACTTTGTTGACTTTTGTACTTAATTTTTTTGTTTTCATTTTAAAATAAATAAAACGTCATAATATAAACAACTTATTTAGATTGATGTTATAATTTTAGATATGTCTGCCATGATCAGAGTTGATTGCAAAACAATTAAAAACATTGATTTTGAAAAGTTGAACTTTTGAAAAACAACGTTGTTTTTGTTTGTTGATTTTTAAAACCCAGGCATATTAACAAAGAACATTAAAAACATTTTATACTTAGAATATCATATCCCCCCTGTATAAGAATCGTTTTCGACATAAAACTTAGTAAAATATGCGATATAGTATCAATTTTGGTAATGGGACGTAAAAGCGAAAAGTTTAAAAGCGAAAGAACGTAAGAGCGAAAAGTTTTAAGCGAAAGAACGTTAAAGCGAAAAGTTTAAAAGCGAAAACCAGGAAATCGAGTATCGCGATAAGTTCAACAACAACAAAAACAATGTTATTATTGAAATTTTTTCTGATTTTGTTATTGTTTCAATGTAATATTATAGATTATTTAGCGTTTGGATTTTATTTTTTTTAAACTGTTTATATTTTTATAATTAGTTAAATTTTTTATAATTATAAGTTATAGTTTAGAATTATTTATTTGATATTCTAGCTGAGAGTTATAGTTACAGTTAGAGTTTATTAGATTAAATAAATAAGAAAAACTTATTGTATATAGTTTAGAGTTTATGTATATATTATTTAATTTTTATTTGCTTTATGAAATATATGCATTAAATTTCAAGCAAAAGATTGTTTTAATGTTTAAATAAAAATCATTCATAAAATTAAAAAGATGCGAATTTATAATGTTCTTTTATTTTGATTAGGTATGGTGAGTTAGGCTGTTTACACTTGATACTTTTAGAAATGATAAGATAGTTAAACCTCAAGAATTGATGTTTAAATTTTGAGTCATAGACTAAAAGCCAGGGACAATATATCAACATATTTGAAAAAGAGACATATAAAGGTTAGTTTTTAATATAAATTATTACCTAGTAGATAATATCTACAAATATTACTATTTATGTAAATTAAGGCAAGCTTTTATCAATAAACATTTCTTGAAATATAAATACTTAATTGGTGGTGTGCAAAGACCTTTTGCTTAAAACAATTGTGCCAAATTTCAGTCTTTGAATATATTGTCAACTTATGATTGTATAATAACATAATTTTAAGCATACACGATTTTTCTCTTCTCTTCTAAAACTAAATTACAAAAATCCTAAACGCAACAATTATATAAACTGAATGTCATACAGGAATTTGTATAAGCATGTTAATTACATATATGACGTATTATACAATGATACAATATTAAATTCAAAAGTATACATCAATTCAAACATCTCTATAAATATTTATAAATATCTTATCTCTATAAATCTTTAATCCATCCCTGCATGAAACACTTTTGTCATATCTTAATCAGATCTTCCAGTAATGGTCTTTCTCTTTTAGACAAGGTACAAAAAGGAATTGTTTTTGCACCTTGACCTGCTCTTGCAGCCAACCTCCAACCATTAGAACATTATCATAATTTAGCTTCTCTTTTTATTTTTTATAAATACTATTATGGACACTGCTCTAAAGAGCTAGCGTCTCTTGTGTCATCTACTAAAATTCACTTTTGTGTTACTCATCATTCAATAAAGGCCTTCTACTATGACTTTTACTATGACTGTTCCTAAGTGCCTAAAAAATTCTTATCTGTTTTTTCGTGAAACTTTTTTTTCACTTGCTTCAGCTTTTTTTTTTATTCATATAATACACAATCTATTAATTTTTCTGTTAGTTGTTATTTTGCTCTATGAATTTCATCTTTTCTCTAACAGTAGGTACTTCTAGTCTTGTTGGAAATGAAAATGTTAAAAAAAAAAATCATTTCCAATAAAAGCCCTCCAATGTATTGTAATAGTTGGGATGTTATGCATTTTACACTTTTTTTTTTATAACAAAATTCTTTTTTTAGTAATAAAAAAGTTACCAATACAATAAACTTAGTAAATGATATAAAATTCCCAAAGTAGTAAACTAAAATTAGATTCATATATAGCAGTAATCATAGCCAGCAGTAATTTTAGAGTAGAGGGTATAGTTTCCTTCAATGCACAAACATGCATGGGGGACCGCAGGATATTTTGATGTTCCAGATAGAATACTTTCACACATTGTGCAAACTCCAAACTTAAGTATGCTTATACCTATGGCAAATGAGGCGGCCTTGCAAAAAATAAAGAAGGCCGAGGTCTGGGAGCAAAATAGCCCTGAAACGCCCACTCCCCCACCCACCCCCCCACCCCAAAAAAAAAAAAAAGAGGAAAGATCTAAATTTTGGCTATGATTACTGCTATATATTTGTTTTAAAAACTATTTTGTCTAGTTTAAAAACAATATAACAGTGAATCGTTTTCGACATAAAACTTATTATAATATCATATCCCCCCCGCATAAGAATCGTTTTCGACATAAAACCAAGTAAAATACGCGATATAGTATCAATTTTATACTTAGAATATCATATCCCCCCTGTATAAAAATCGTTTTCGACATAAAACTAAGTAAAATATGCGATATAGTATCAATTTTATACTTAGAATATCATATCCCCTCTGTATAAGAATCGTTTTCGATATAAACTAAGTAAAATATGCAATATAGTATCAATTTTATACTTAGAATATCATATCCCCCCTGTATAAAAATCGTTTTCGACATAAAACTAAGTAAAATATGCAATATAGTATCAATTTTATACTTAGAATATCATATCCTCTCTGTATAAGAATCGTTTTCGATATAAACTAAGTAAAATATGCAATATAGTATCAATTTTATACTTAGAATATCATATCCCCCCTGTATAAGAATCGTTTTCGACATAAAACTAAGTAAAATATGCAATATAGTATCAATTTATACTTAGAATATCATATCCCCTCTGTATAAGAATCGTTTTCGACATAAAACTAAGTAAAATATGCGATATAGTATCAATTTTATACTTAGAATATCATATCCCCCCTGTACAAAAATCGTTTTCGACATAAAACTAAGTAAACTATGCGATATAGTATCAATTTTATACTTAGAATATCATATCCCCCCTGTATAAGAATCGTTTTCGTTATAAAACTAAGTAAAATATGCGATATAGTATCAATTTTATACTTAGAATATCATATCCCCCCTGTATAAGAATCGTTTTCGACATAAAACTAAGTAAAATATGCAATATAGTATCAATTTTATACTTAGAATATCATATCCCCTCTGTATAAGAATCGTTTTCGTTATAAAACTAAGTAAAATATGCGATATAGTATCAATTTTATAATTAAAATAGCTTTATATATATATATTTGATTTTACTTGAACCATGTATACTTTGTTTATGTCCGAAATTTATTTCGGACGGCGTAGGTGCACTTCTAAATGCTATAACTTTAAATCGCGTCTGCGTTTTTAATCTTCTTATGGGGGATATGATATTCTAGGCGGATACGATATTCTATTACACGTCGCACGGTCGTTTGTAAGAGGAAAGTTATTATACGCATGCGCAGTGGAATTACATTTCTTGAAGGTTTTTTAAAATGGCTACGGTTTCAAAATTATAGAAACTAATCATTGACAACGAGTAATTTGTTTAATTTTAGATAATTAAATAGGTTTTTAACTAGTTTTTTCATGAAATTATTTTGAAAATAGCTTGCAGCTGTTCGAAGAAATTTTAAAAATAAAATACAAGATCTCTGAATGTAAATAATATCTACTTTCAGCTAAAGCAACTTTAGTTTTTTTGTTTACAATTTTTAAATCTTTTTTAAAATATTTTTGAGCGTAGAAATTTTTTAATTTAAATTTATTCAGCAAGATGAACCTTTTATCTATTTTGTATTTTTTGCTTATATGAGGATTCAATTTTTTTTGCAGGGTTAAAAGAAAATCTTAATCATTAAACTTGTGTAACCTGTTGCTATGGTGCTCTTTTCCGATGTGGCTATATATATATATATATATATATATATATATATATATATATATATATATATATATATATATATATATATATATATATATATATATATATAATATAAACACTTATCTATTTTTTTGATAAACCTTCTGAAGGAGTTGAACAGACTGTCAAAGAGTGCTCAATATTCTTAAAGAAGAGAGCATAGTATTGTTATATGTTAGTAACATAATATTTTTATATGTTAGTAACATAATATTGTATAATATTTTATAACATAGTATTGTTATATGTTGGTAACATTATATATATATATATATAAATATTTCTTTGAACAAATTCTTTTTGCTCGGATTATATTTTTGGCATTTATTTTAAAGTGATGTTAGAACTATTTTCAATTACTCTTTCTCCCCCCGGTTTCAATTACATTTTAGCTTTAGAAATCTAAAAAGCAATATTCACAAAATAATTCGCAAAAATATGATTTGAAAAAACTTGAATCTTTTTTTTTCGACTCAAATTGAAGCAACACTTGGTTCACGAATTGAAGCAATTCACAAGACCCTAATATATATATATATATATATATATATATATATATATATATATATATATATATATATATATATATATATATATATATATACGCATACATTAATTATATATTTATGCAAACTTATCTATGATCAAAATTTTGAATGTTATTATTCCAGGCTTTCGATTTAGTCAATAACCTCAAATAAATTAACTGTATTGCCTGCATCAAAGCAATACCATTATGTTTTTGATTTTATCGATTGAATGCTATCATTTTGATTCTATCGATTGAATCATCAGTCTGGTTTTGTACATATTGATTCAAAATTAATAAATTATGATAAAAATTGATTTAAAACAAACAAATATTATAGTATATATTTTTTTAGTATTCCAACCATATTCGCTTTTCAACAAAGAAACTTACCTGTTGTAAAGAAGGGAAAAGTAAACTAAAGCAGAAAGACTTTTTCTTGGAACTCGATATAAATATTTTTTGTGTTTCGTGTTTAAATTTTTTTTTTTAATGTTTACAGCTTGAGATTGTTAAAATCAATATGAATATATTTAAAATATTTTTTACTTAAAGATTGAAAGAATGAAAAATGTTTTTAATGCATAAAAGATATATTTTTATTTGAATTATATTTTGATCTTTTATTTTGTGTTGATTGATAGTTATTTGATGCATAAAATAAATTTATATTTTTTAAATTATACTAATGTTGCTTTTTCTTCTGTTTGTCTCTATTGCATTATTACGAATATTACAAACTTTATATAGCTTTATATAGCTTTATATCTAAAAATTAAATAATTTATCAAAGTTATACTTTAAGTTCAAAACTTGTTTGTGTTTTTATTTATAATATTTATAGTTTTTTATTTATATTATTTTTTATTTATTTTATATATTTTATATTTATATCATATTATATTTTATATTATTTTATATATTAATTTTTATTTATATTATTTATAATATAAAAATTGACATTTAAAAGAAAATGCGAGTAATATACAGAAAAGTGACCTTTAAAAGTTAAAATGAATAAATTTATTTAATGTGATAAAAGCATATTAATTAAATATATATATATATATATCAACTTAGTTTCTCCACGTAGTGGCCTTGCTTTTCAAGGTTCGTGTTTCGGAGTTAAAGAATTGAGAGAGGGTTGTCTCTTTGACTGTAGTAACCCCATCGGCCTTGGGAAGGTGAACAATGTAAAAATGTTTATTTGTTTGAGGCAGTGGCCTTATTCTTCACAAAAATATTAATTAACAAATTATATTCAGATTATATAATAATGTAAACTGGGGTCTAATTTTATTTGTATCTTTGTAACATTTATAACATAAAGAAAGAAACGTTCAAACCTTTTTTGAGTGGCGTTCAAAAAAATGTCTTTGACCCACTACATGGGGTGATGTTGAGCCCTTGTTAATGTCAGTGAAAATGACAATTGTAAATATCTGAAAGTTATAGGGTAGTTTGATTGTTGTAATGATAGAAATAAGATTTTGCAAAATCCGCATAAATGTTGATGTATTAAATTAGTATAAAATTGAATTTTTATTTATGCCTAGAAACTAAATCATGGAAGCAGAAAGCATGTTAGAATAGGTTTATTATATGTACTTTAGAACAGATATAACGCATTAAAAGTCTTAAAAGTGGTTTATTACAAGCCTAAAAATACCAGATTAACTAAAGATATCTTTAGTAATCTTATTAATAAGATAAGATTAAATGCGAGGACTATTCTTCGCCCTATTTATAACCCAACTTTAAAGATGAAATTAAGAGGGAAAATACGCTAATCTTTGTTGCTGTCTTAGGCGACGCGAAGACTCTTGGAGGCCACTATATATAAAATAAATTTTGATTGAGATTAACGGGAACTTTGAGAAAGTCACTATAAATATAAAAAAATTTAATTTCTGAGTTTTATTATGCCTAGAAATTATAAACAAAAACTATGGAAGCAGAAAACATGTTATTTGTATCTGTCCTGGATTAAAGGGGGGAGCTATAGACCCAATCTCCGCAATTTTAGGTGCCCCGAAATTTGTAAATAAATAAGAGGACCTTTTTTAAATTATTATAAGGCTGTGGTGCATTATAAGGCTGTGGTGCATATAAAAAGACTCCAATCTCGGTAGCTGTATCAGGCGAAGCAAAAGCTAAACAACAGAAAATAATAGCGAAAGGTACGATTTGGGTTATTGATTCAGAGACAGTACCGACACAAGCTTCATTTTTTCTAAAAATTCCATTCAAAACAAGCATGCAGTGCTGGATTAAGGGTTGGCTGTAAACCTGAAATTTTTAAAAGGACCCCCTTTTTTTGTAAAAGTCGATTTTAGGCTGTGGCACATAAAAAATGCCTCCAAAAAAAGGAAGCCCTGGGTCCCGAAAAGTCTTAATCCGCTAGTATAGATGTGTTCTCTGTGTAATACACACTGTATATTCGGTAAAAACAAATATGGAAAAAGGAAATATACATATTATTACACTGGTTATTTTTCAATGCGATTCTCATATTTTTAATATTTTACATATTATGTGTTAAAAAAATGGAAAAACCTATTTAGAGAAATATTATAACACAATCTGAAATAAAACGTGCCTTTTTGGCTTGTTTTCAAAAACTGGTAACTTAATTTTAGCTCTTTTAATAAAACAATTTTAATATTATCTTGTGTTACTTTTTATTTAAATAGATAAAGTTTATTCCATCAGAACATCACAAAAATTTACAATCATTTAAACTCTCCCACAGTAAACAGTAACAGCTTTTCTCGCATTCGACGATGTTAGCGGTTTAGATGTAACAAAAAACTAATATTCAACTATTCTTGGAACTACACTGTCTTTTGTTAGTTTAAAAACATCTGATATGTTGGTTTTAGATAAATACGGTTTTAAATAAGTTGTTGGTGACACTGCTAATGCTGACAATGGCAATGTTAATGACAAAAATGTGGCCTTTTTAGAACATATGTCATTATGATTTTTATAGATTTCATATTCTTGAATTATATTAAATTTCATTTAGCATAAAATACATGCAACAGTCAACATTTTAATGAGAGAATTTATTTTGTTACTTGTTAATAAATCTTTATATAATAAATGTTCTTGGCATTGAGGACATATTGCTTTACTAATTGACTTTAACTTTACATTTTCTACAATACAAAAAAAGCAGAAAAGATGCTCACATTTTTTTAAAGTTAAAGGTTGCTTTGGAATTTTACCACATATATTACATAAGCAATGTTGCAAATGAGGATTTAACTCATTAGTTAGCTCTGATATATCTATGTCTTCATCATGTATTATGGCTATTGCTTCTTTTATGGTAGTGAACATTGCAAATGTACACATCTGTGGTTCATTTTTTTGGCGGCCACATCTTGCTTTATTTCTAGATTGTTGTTTAGAAACTACTAAACCTTTTCTAAGCACTTTTACTGATTGGCAAGAAAAACAGTCATCACAGTGTGGTTTCCATTTAGTACAGGGACCAGGGGCAGTTGATGTTTTTCTTGAAAGCACATTGTTTATTGTACAATAACATTTTTAACACATTTTTGGAGGATGGACAATTTCCAAATCTGTCATTTCAACATAAAACAGCTTCTCTAATTTTACTTTAAGAACTTCTCCTATAAAATAATGCTTTTTACCAAGTAACTGTCCACAAACTCTGCAAAGGAATTTAATATTTTTGTTATGAAGTTCCATTTTATTTAATATTAGACTATTTTTAAAATGTTATATATTATACAATTAAATAAAAAAATTTTTACAAATCCTAGTAATAATTACTAGGATTTGTAAAAAATTCTTTTTGTATATATCTGTATATATATATATATATATATATATATATATATATATATATATATATATATATATATATATATATATATATATATATGTATATATACATCGGAAAAGAATACCGTAGAAACAGGTTACAAAAAGTTAACGATTAATATATATATATATATATATATATATATATATATATTATATATATATGTTATATATATTTATATATATATTATATATATTATATATATATATATATATATATATATATATATATATATATATATATATATATATATATATATATGTATATATATATATATATATATATATATATTATATATATATATTGTATATATATATATTATATTTATATATATATATATATATATATATATATATATATATATATATATATATATATATATATATATATATATACTATATATATATTATATATGTATATACATATATATATATATATATATATATATATATATATACATATATTTATATATTATATATATTTATATATATATATATACATATATTATATATATATATATATATATATATATATATATATATATATATATATATATATATATATATATATACACATCAGAAAGGAGTACAGTAGCAACAGGTTACAAAAAGTTAACGATTAAGATTTTATTTTAACCCTGAAAAAAAAATTGAATCCTCATAAAAGCAAAAAATGCAAAAAAGATAAAAGGTTCATCTTGCTGAATAAATAAAAATTTAAAAATTTCTACGCTCAAAATTTTTTTTAAAAAGGTTTAAAGATTATAAACAAAAACAGTAAAAGTAGCTTTAGCTGAAAGTAGATTTTATTCACATTCAGAGGACTTGTATTTTATTTAAAACATTTCTTAGTAAAGCTGCAAGTTATTTTCACAATAATTTTATTTTAAAAATAGTTAAAAGCCTATTAAATTATCTAAAATTAAACAAGTTACTCGTTGTCAATGATAAGTTTTTAAAAACGTTACATCCGTAGCCATTTTTAAAATTCTAAATTATTTTAAACTCTACTGCGCTTGCGTATAATAACTTTCCTCTTATTTCTAAAGTCTAAACGACCGTGGTCGCATTTGTAACCATAATGAAATAAAAACAACGTTGGCAGCCGATGTTGGGCCAACAAAACGCGTGACATTATTCTAATGTTTTAACAACGTATGTGTGCTAGCTGGGAAGAAACTTTGACTTGAAGACATCGATGCGTTAATGCAGAAAAGAAGTTGTAAATTTTTCGAAAAAAGCTAAAGAAATTAACAGCAGCTACATTGGATTACGCGGCACTCACTCCTACAATGTTCAAATAGTGAGCAGCACATGGATTGTATTCGGCAAGAACGTTGATCTCTTTAATTCTTGCTTGTAAACCTAAGAAGGTTCCAGACATACTGCTGGCAGCGTCGTATGACTCGCCAAGCCAGTTTTGAATGTTGATCGCATACTAATCTAACTTTTTCAAAACAATTTCAAGCATTGAAACAGCAAAATAACCATGCATGGGAATGAATGCCAAGAACCGCTTAGCCGGTTTTCCGATTTTAACACATTGGGAATAGAATCACGATAAACATGCGCAGATTAACGATTATGCTGATTTTTTTTCGCTACAACGTTTA